GTCCCCTGCCTACTGCCCGAAGACGGCCGAGATAGGCTCCAGCACGCCCCGCGACCATTGTTGAGAATAAAGCGGTTCAGAAAATGGATGGATGGGTAATAATAATGCCGAAGCTGATTGACATATGTGGAATTAATGTTCCAAAATGTTCATACTTGTGAGATGTTTCATGTCATTGACGAATACACCACCGCATGCACACCTACCAAGGGGTTACTTGACCTACTTGATCCGACACTCGCATGCATGCGTGCGCGTCTGCCTCGAGGATCAGACCGAGTTGGCCATGGTGTTTCCGAAATCATGGCAAGGGAACAGTTGAGATAAACGCAGCCCTTTCCTGGTCGCCCCCTCGACCCCCCTACTCGAAGCGCACGCACGCACACACTGTCCATTAACGAGGCAGCCGTGTGTAAAATAACCAGATTTTGCCCTGCCTCGCTGCTTCTCTTCTCTCTTGAACCCACCCCTCCAGGCCTCCTCCTTTTCTCTTTTCCTTCCTTCCGGGTCTTAAATCCCAGCCTGAAGCACACGGGCTCACGTCCCCTCACTTGAGCATAATTACACACACGCAGCTAGCCAGCTACTACCTGATGCCCCCCATTTGGGAACAAAGGTACAAATTAGAGCGGTTCAGCCCCAAGCGGTAATGGGACGTTGGTGGGTGCTTGCGCACGTGTTCACCAGAGGAAGTGGCCGATCAGTCACGACTTTGTCTCTCTAGTTAGATTTTATGCTGTCTACTGCACTTGTTTTGTTTGTCCGTTCCTGTCGCCGAGGAAACGTGGTGCTGTTGACATGGCAGAGATTTCCTGCCATACTGCCCGGAGGCCACATGCAGTTTCGTTGCCAAACTGACGACTGCGCAGACGCGCCTGCAGTGACCTGCTGTTTCCTCACGGCTAAGGAAATGCGGTGCATACGTGAACCCTTCATTGATTTTGAGCAGGTTGAATTTATCAGAACAAATACATACCTATGTTTCCAAAAGTTTAGCAAGTAATACAATTGTAGTATTTGAGCATCTCACATTTGTTGATGGGAGTGTTGAATTGTCACACCTTCACAACTCAATATTCTTCTCTAAAGAGAAAAATAATTTGAGTTCAAGAAATCAAGTGTTGGATATGTATGGATATAATGCTGGATATTTTTTGAGTATGCACCATATTAAATTCACTGAACTATTCACTGTGATGGCACTGAAATGACAGTATTTCAGTCAATGTTTATGCTTGACCAGGGGTGGGCAAACTTTTTAGCTCGGGGGCCATATTGATTTCTAAATTTGACAGGGGGGCCGGGTCAGCACAAGATATGGTACATATAAAAAAACGTATATGTTGACAATCCATACCAAACATCAACAGAACAAAAGCATTCAAGTATTACTATACTTTTTTTCATGAGAACAGTGAGATAACTATGGTATATGTCCGGTATGAACGTCCAAGTACGGTATGTTAACAACATACAGTGGTGACAACACAAGCAACAAAGTGCAACAATATATTGTCCAAAAACTGCGGCATACAGTACAGGTACAGTATATGAGAAAATATAACAAAGGTAGGACTATTTGCTCCAAAATGAGACGAGTAAAAGACCTGGTGGCTTTCTTTCCACTCACTCACTGTCTCGAAATCGACCTCCCCTCGATCACCACACAAGACAGCGTTGCTCAGCTGATGTCGTGCTTGAAACTTTTGAAGCCAGCCACAGGACGCTCCGAAGTATTCAATGCCCATAGTTAGCGTTATGGAACTCGCTTTCTCT